GACTCTCTGGTGCTGGGTCTCTCCCGATGTGGAAAATGCCTCCCGAGCACCACTGCTTGCCTCACTGCACACCATGAGCTGATCTGGCCTGAAGGGCTCTGGCTCTCACCTGGTCAGGTCTGGCAGCTCCTTGCTGCTTCCACACTGTCTCTCCCTCCTTCTGCTACTCAGTCTGATTCCTCAACTTTGTCTTTGATGTTCGGGGCTCTTAGATTGTCATATATAATCGATTCACTTGTTTTTTGGGGTCTTTGTTGTAAGATGGACCGCTGGAAGTATCTGACTACTCCACTGTCTTGGCGCCGCCTCCTGACTAAACATTTCACATGGAAAGAACGTTTAGTTTTCTGTCTGAGAGAGGATTAAAGAAGAGACTGCTTATACCAGCAAAGACATGATCAAAGTAGTAAAATATGGATGGAGTATACAATTCAGATTTATCTACCAGTTTAGGAAACATGCAAAGTATGATGCTTAATAGAGGTAATGTGTAGGTAAAAAAGGAAACCGTAGTGGCGTAGTGGTTAAGTGCTATGGCTGCTAACCAAAAGGTCGGCAGTTGAAATCCACCAGGTGCTCTTTGATAACTCCATGGGCGCAGTTCTACTCTGTCCTATAGAGTCAATACGAGTTGGAGTCGACTCAATGGCAATGGGTTTGGTTTCTTTTTGGTATGTAAAAGATGCTCTATAGATGATTTTTAATTTTATCATCAGTATATAGTATAGGAAGGAGCCCTGGTGGTGCAGTGGTTAAGCGCTTGGCTGCTAACCAAGAAGTCAGTCATTCGAACCCACCAGCCACTCCGTGGGAGGAAGTTGTGGCAGCCTGCTTCCATAAAGCTTTAGAGCCTTGGAAACCCTATAGGCCGTTCTAGTCTGTCCTGTAGGGTTGCTGTGAGTTGGAATCGACTCGATGGCAGTGGGTTTGGTTTTTTTTTTGGTTTAGAGATAGGAAAGTATTGATTGAAGAAGAGTATTAGTATTTTGAGGGAAAGAGGAAAGATTCAGTACTCATTAAGCTCTCGGGGGTGGGGGTGGGTGGGACTGTTTGAAAAAAATACCTTTAATGTATCAGTTTTATATTTGGAGGCAACCCTAGGGCTCTTTCTTTTTTTTTAATAAAACAAGCTACAGACAGGATGAGAAATTTTTATGTTAATGAGAATACGATTTAAAGATAAATAACAAGGTAGATTAACTCATAAACGGAAGATTCATATAGGTTAATAAGGAAAATACAACGGGCTTAGGATATGCTTTCAGCCCTTGAGGTTCAAGTAGTCCTGTCTTCCCCTAAGTACCGTATTGATTATATTTAGCATTTTCCAGCTTTCAGGGGATGATTTTGGTCTCAACCTATTCCGTCTAGAAAATATAATTAAATAACAGCATAGCAAAATGAAGTCTTTTGAGGGATTTTTAAATTGGTCCTGTAGTCCATTTCTTTGTGAGAAGACCAATTTGAAAAATAGTCATATTTCTTAGAATTATATGCAGGATAGTGGTTACCCATGATGACAAAGGTAGTAGGAGGAGATATGATCAACTGATTGACAGTGTTTTTATGTACAGATAGTCCCCAGCTTATGACGGGGTTCCATTGCGATGACTCCAGTTGTAAGTCGGTTCTAACGTAAGTCGAATACCTTTTTTTTTTTTTAGTTTTCGTAGCCTGTTATATGGCAGTATTTTGAACAGTAAATCATAACATTGAGCATCTGCAAGTGAACATCTGAGAATGATAACATCAGCAAATTATATATTGTAACATTGTATATAGTACATATTACTAATGATAAGATGTACCCAAAAAAAAAGTGGTCATAAGTTCGTAAGTATGAATACGTTGTAAGTTGGGGACTTACCTGTATTAAACTAGGTGGGGGGAATATGGGTATTTGTTTATATTATTCTTTGTATCCTTTTGTAAGTCCTAAATGTTATATAGTAAATAATGTCCCAACTTTTTATCAACGTAACATGTTCAATTACCTACACTTTCCACTGAGATTCAGCAGTGTTTTAACATTTTGCCGTTTGGGCTTTTATCTCTATATTTATATAGGAGGGTAGTGGTGGTTCAGTGGTAGAAATATTTTTTTTTAAATTTTTTTCTATTTCTAGCTTTTTTAAAAATTATGTTTTAGGTGAAAGTTTACGTAGCAAATTAGTTTCTGATTAAACAGTGCACAGATTGTTTTGTGATATTGGTTATCAACCCTGTGATGTGTCAACACTGTCCCTTTCTCCACCCGAGGTTCCCTGTTACCATTAGTACAGTTTTCCTGTCCCTTCCTGCCTTCTCATCTTTGCTTTTGGGCTGGTGTGCCCATTAGTCTTGTATACATAATTGAACTATGAAGCACGTCCCTCATGTGTGTTATTGTTGGCACTATAGACCTGTCTAATCTTTGGCTGAAGAGTGAACCCCAGGAGTGACTTGAGTACTGAGTTAAAAGGGTTTCCAGGGACCATACTTTCGGGGTTTCTCCAGTCTCTGTCAGACCAGCAAGCCTGGTCTTTTTTTGTGTGTGTTTGAATTTGAATTTTGTTATACATTTTTCTCCAGCTCTGCCCAGGACCCTCTGTTGTGATCCCTGCCAGAGCAGTTGGTGATGGTAACTGGGTGCCATCTAATTGTTCTGGGCTCAGTCTGGTGGAAGTCGTGGCAGTTGTGGTCCTCAGTGATAGAATTCTTGCCTTCCATGCAGGAGACCTGGGTTTAATTCCTGGCCAGTGTACCTCAAGTGCAGCCACCGTGAAGGCTTTGTGTTAACTGTGATTGTGGACAGGTTTTAGCAGAACTTCCAGACTAAGACATACTAGGAAGACAGGCCTGGCAATCTGCTTCAGAAAATCAGCTAATGAAAACTGTATGGATCACAACGGTCTAATCCTATTGTGCATGGGTTGCCATGAGTCAGGGACTGACTGGACAGCAGTTAACAACATATTTATATACATATTTATTTTCCTAAACTATTTGAAAGTAAGTTGCAGACATCATGATACTTCATCTTTAAATATCCCAGCATTCCTAAGAATAAAGATGTTTTTTCACATAACCGTTATCATACTAAGACAACAGTAATACAAGTTTCTGCAGTTGTCCCTAAAATGTCTTTTCATAGCAGTTGTTAACACGCATGGGGTCACCATGAGTCGGAGTCGACTCGTTAGCAACTGGTGGTGGTGATCTATTATAAAATGAAGCTCACACATTGCATTTGGTTATTGTATCTCTTTAGTCTCAATCTGGAACCCTCCTTTCTCTATTTTTTGTGATACTATTTGAAGAGACCAGGCCAATACAGTTTTTAAGAAGAAATTCTGTTTTCTCACTTTTGAAGCACTACAATGTCTGCAAGTTTTCTGTTGTCCTTTCATTTTACCTTTGCCAGCTAATTTCTAGGAATCAACTGAGATAGACTCTTAATTTTATCTGCAGTTTATTGTGTAATTATTTTTACAGTAAAACGTGTTGTTTGTACTTTAATGTATGCTTTAAATTAGATGTTATTTTTCATACTCTTTATGCTTTACTGTACTCAAGTTATATTTAAGAATTTAATAATAATAAGGTGTATTTAAAGAACTCTGGTGGCACAGCAGTTAAGTGTTTGGCTGCTAACCAAAAGGTTGGTTCAGATCCACCCAGTGGCTACGTAGGAGAAAGATCTGGCGATCTGCCATGAGTCTCTATGAGTTGAAATTGACTCAACAGCACTCAATAATGGTAACAACAATGCATATTTCGTTGTTGAGTTTCACCTAGGGAAAGATTCTCATTTGTTAGCGTTGCTAATAGAGTGTTAATTTATACAGGATATAATCAGAGTGATTCATTTGAAGGTAGTGTATGAATTTCAGTTTAACCATACAAAAGACTCAGCTTAAGCAGTTCAAATGAAATTTTAAGAACTGAGTTAGTATTTACAAAGGACTGAATTTATTTGTTGGATTTAACAATAGTGTAAGAATAGTCCCATGGTGACTTTATGTATTTAAATCAGTTCCTTTCTTTAAATGCTGACGTGATTTTTTTAAATTGATAATAAAGAAAAATTGGTGAATCTTTTAAAATAGCCGTAAAGGGATTTAATTTAAAAAAACTGATTAAGTTTTAATGGTAAAACATTTCAGATTAGTCTGTTCTTGGGGAAAAGCTTTCATTTAATAGATTTCCTTTTATGTATTTGGATGTTACATGGAAGTTGTTTCTGAAGTTGAGGTGCCCAGTGGATTGTTGTAAATATAGATCTTTGTCTTAATGGAACTTGGGTAAATAAGAAAGAGCTATTTGCATTTTCAAAGTAATTCTCATAGAAATTTCCTTTTAAAATAAACTTTAAGGTCTTATACCTACATTTTATAACATCTTGCTGGGCGAACTCAAAGATCCACAATACTCCATAGAAGCCTAGGAAGGCTTGCATTTTTGAGTGCTCTTTTTTTATCAGCAGAGATGGTACTTGTAGCCTTTAAGTTGTCATGTGTACACTGCTAAGTAAGTAAGCTCAAGTTATAAGGAGACTAGGTAACCAATTAAATAAGGACAAAAGATGAGATAAATCTACTATACTACAGGTAAAAGTATATCATCTTTATATTAAGGAAAAATTTTAAATTGAGATTTTTTTTGTTCATGTAGTCTACCTGAGATTTTGATTTTCTGGAAGTGAAACTATGAAATAAGAGTAAGATATCCAGTCACTGCATGTTGAAGTTTTTTTCTGAAAAGTCCTTGGAAGTGGAAATAAATTATAGATAACTTATTTGTATTTCTTTTTGAGATAGAGTACTCCCTTTTTAGAAATTAAAATTTTCAAGCCAAACAGTTTATGATCATAATCTCAGGTCCTTTTGCTGAATTATGAATTGGCAATTTGGTTTGGGATTTTTTTTGAATGTTTGCTTTTTTAATACAGAATTGAATTTGCTAAAAGATGCAATTTAGGCTTTTAAAGCTTTTAATTAGAAATTATTTTCTCTTGTTAGGAGGCAGGTGGAAGTCATCATAAAGTTTCTGTTTCACCTGTCGTCCACGTTCGAGGACTCTGTGAATCTGTGGTGGAAGCAGACCTTGTGGAGGCTCTTGAAAAATTTGGGACTATATGGTAAGGACAATATGGACTTCAACGTGGGCGGATTTAAAACAGTATGGTATAACATTTATTGTAAGCTTGATGTTTAACATAGTATATATTAAGTTTGCCTATGAATATATTTCTTTGGAATCTTTTAAGCTTATTATTTTTGACTTCCTGGGGTTGATGCATGGATATGCTTTGTGGGTCCATGATCACCTCTTACTCCCCAACCAGGTTGTATGTAAAATTGATAATGTACATTTTTCATCCGATTTTCAAATGGGTCCGTGATTCCTTCACAAACACTACTCTAAACCAATGAATGGACTATGTCCTTCATCTTCAGAGTTTCAAGATGTGGTACTTAATACTGATTTTTGTTTGTTTGTTTACACTGGAATATTTATGAATTCACTGACAACTCAGAATGGGCAGATTAAGGGTAGGCATTATTTGCTTAGGTCCGTGTTGCTATGAGTTCTTACTCAGATCATGAAAAGTCTGTTTTATCCTAGCTTGTCATCCTTCTGTGCTTTGTTTTTTCTCAGGCTCCTCCTTTCTCTTCCCACAGCTGGTGTATGCTCAAGCATATTGACTTAAGTGAAACATAATTAGAAAAGTAAATCTGCTGCCAAAAATAGCTGCTCAAAAATTCTTTCTAAAATATTTTTGGAGTACGCCCAACTGTTCTCTTAGTACGGATAATCTAGAGTTGATTTTATTCTTTTTTTTCTTGACAGATATGTTTGTGGTTTTTGTTAGAGGCATCTGAGACACAGCCAACTTGAAATGTAGAAGTGACAAGGAGTTTTCAGTGTATTTGCTGAGACAGTCGATTGCTTCAATTTAATAAAAAATTATGTGAAGTTTTTTGAGTATTGAAAGGATGATGCTTAAATAGATAGTGAGGGAGTGATCAGAGATGTCCGCAACAAACGAACCATTGCTTCAAAGTGGGAATAATGTTAAGTGACACCTTCCATCATGGCAGCAGTTTATTAATTTCTTGGTGACCTTATTTAGAGGTAGATAACTTGTCAGATCTGTCACCTTCAATTTATGTACTTCAGAAACCACTGTTACATATTGTTTATCATTGGAGGTACAAATTTAGAATGCACATGGGCATAGAAAAGCCCATATCTTGAAGTATCACTAAGATGACTGTATCAATTTTCAGTCATTTGGAGTGGATATTAAAAAGTTAAGTCTGTTTGGAGAGTTATATCTTGAAGCACTTTAGACTTGTGTGTTGGCACTAGATAGACTAACCACAGTTACTGTAAGGATCTTCTAATGGTTGTATAAGTGGTGCATTGTCTCAAGGAGTTATAAAGAGGTGGGACTCTTTGGTCTAATTTTCTCCCATTCTTATGTATTTAAGGCTTTTTAGGTTACTTTCTTATAGCCGAGAAACACTGAGACAAATGTCAGAAAACAAGATGATGAACATGTACAGTTAGAAACTTTATAGAGACAATAATTGTTTTGATATTTGTATGTTAATTGTGACCATGACCTGAATATTGGAGATTAAAGAAATAGAGCCAGTTGTTTAGGTTGATGAGTAATTTGAATTACTTTTCAGTGACCTGTCCACTTTTAGACTCTAGATTATTTGATACTTAGTCCATGGTAAAGTCTTCTAGATATGAATGACATTCAGTTGATTTCTACAGTACACCTTTCTGCCTTCAAGATTAGTAGTTAGGCAGATAGAAAAGTTGTGAGACAATTGGAACCAAATTAGTGTATAATTAAGAGCTTACCGGGCCTAAATAAGTATAAGAGGGGTTTCAATTGTGTGAAATAATCCTGAATAAGAGGTGACTGTATGAAAGCTAAAAGAACCATGAACAGCCCCCAACCAGAAGTAGAGGCTTTGCTTCAAAGTTTTACAGTTACAGAATCTTTCCTTATTTATTATTTATTTATTTACTTATTGGGGTGTGTGTGTATGATTATAAAGATTTAAGGTTATATGGAAATTGCTCGCGTTAAAAAAGCGAATTGCCAAGTTAAAGATATAGTTTAAGTTTATACCTAAAAACCTGATATATAGGAAAGAAGTGCAGGAGAAAACACAACAAAATGTTAAAATTGATTGTGTCAGGAAAATAAAATTGCTGTATTTTTTTTCCCTATTCCATAGTATGTTTTTGTGTATTACAATAAAAATACTTTAAAGTATATGCTGGATAGCACTCTTTTCCTTCTTTCTTCCCTCCCGTTTAAAGGAATGGAAGCTAGGTAGTGATTAGCACTAGTAGTTTAAAGTTTTAAAACAATAAAACTTTGGAACTCATTAGTTTGTGCAGTAAAGTGGTTGCCTCCTCCTGTTTTTATTTAAAAACTAGGGAACATTTTTCAAGGTATAGAATTGAAAGCACTGACCCCGCCATGTCCCTTAGCTGTTTTGTTTCTTTATCCTTTTATCTCTTTGGTCTCCCAGTCTTCCTCATATTGATGCTTTTTAAAGTTGTGTATGTGCGTTTTTTAAATCGTGTGTTAGACAGTTTAAGCACATGCTAAAATAAAATGTGACGTTCTAATTTCCCTTTCTCTGTCCTCATATTATGCCGTTTTTCTGGGTAATCTGTTTTAACTGTGCTTCTGCCTTATCTGTGCTTCTACCTTACTTCTTGTTTCAGTTCTAGAAGGCAATTTTGCTATAACCAAGTCTATAATTGGCCAAAAAATAATTTATTTTTGAACCTTTATGCTTTTTCTAAGCCAAAGGGTATTATTAACATATTTACTTGCTAATGTCATTTAGGTATTAAGCCAGCTTATGTTTGTGAGGTTAGTACCAGTTGCCATCAAGTCAGCACTCCTACTCATGGCAACCCCATGTGTATCAGAGTAGAACTGGGCTCTGTAGGGTTTTCAGTGGCTGTTTTTTTTTGGAAGTAGATTGCCAGGCCTTTCTTCTGAAGTGCCTCTGGGTGAACTCGAACCTCCAACCTTTTGGTTAGCAACTGAGTGCCTTAACTGTTGGCACCATTCAGGGACTCCGTATTTGTGAGAGAAGAACATTTATTCTTGAATTTCTTTAGCAAGACCTGATTCTAGGGTTTTCTGTTTTTGTATATAAGACTTTAGAACTTTGGTGAGAGATCTGGTTTCTAAAAGAAATGTTTTTCTCCTGGCATTTATATCTTGTACTTATAGTTGGTAAATCTTTAAATTCAAGGCCGTATTCTTTCTGCATTTATATGTTTAATTTTGAATGATGTGGGTTGGGGAAAACTAATAAGCCTCATAGACCAACAAATATTGATTGAGCATCTGCTGTTTGCCAGGCTTGTTTATAGATTATGAGGATATAAAAGTAAGGCAGAGTTTATAGGAGAGAGAGTGATAGTTACCTTTTATTGAAGGCCTTCAATCTGCCAAGCACTCTGCTAAGCAGTTTGTATTGCTGTAACTCTAATCTTGACAATAGTCCAGGGTTTATAAATGAGGAAGTGGAGATTCATAAGAAATTCAGTAGTTTGCCAGGCTCCAAGGTAGTCTGTTAGTTATTAATACTATACCATTTGTCAGTTTCTAAAGTATAGCAGTAGGTCCTGGATGCCTGCTTGAGAAACGTTGCTGTCACTGAGTACCTGATCTAATGTGATTTTTCTGGCCTTCTGCTATTATGAAAACCATGCTAATTGTATTTTTAAACATTTTTCACATCCTTGTTCAAGTGAATAGAGGATGTGTTGTTTCCCCCTCTGTGATCTATGTGCTGTGATTTCTCTCTTCCCTCTATTCCTTCATTTCTTTATTTTTCATTTCATGTAGTAAAATAAATTCCACAAAATGAAGAGTATACTCTGAAAACTAAACACCCCACCCTCCTGCCTATAGGCAACCATGATTACCAGTATTTACCATATTTAGTGACTATATTTTCATGGATTCTTTAATATTAAATAAAGGAGATTCTTTGTATGCACTCGGCTCAATCTGCAATTGCATCTGTTTATCTTTTGATTTGTTTGTTTTTAGTAAGATAAATGAAATTGTAGTCAGTTTCTACTTATTAGTGTGTGTACTTATTAATTTGGAAAATTCAAGAGAGGTAGTAGTTTCTGCTGTTTAAGTAGAGGCCCTAAACTGCCAGTCTTCTGTTGAGTTTAATCCGTGTTGGTTTCTCTATCTTGATGCTTGCTAATACTGTTTGGGAGTGGCAGCCTGAAGAGTAAACTGGGTGGTGCCGTTAGCAACTGATAACAGGAAATTATGTTTAAAGAGGGAATGAGGTGCATAAGCTTTCAACTGGAGGGTAATAAAGCTTTCAAATATGTACCATCTACTTTGTATACCACAATTTGTTTAGATGATTTAAGAATTGACTTACATTGAATATAGGTAGTGAACAATACTAATCTGTATGATCTGACACCTTTTTATTAAAGGGTAATTTTACTTGATAGAAAAAAATGTTAATTTAACTTATTATACTCGGGTATTTCCTCCCAATCTGTCTTTCCAGCTATGTGATGATGATGCCATTTAAACGACAGGCTCTAGTGGAATTTGAAAACATAGATAGTGCCAAAGAATGTGTGACGTTTGCTGCAGATGAACCCGTGTACATTGCTGGTCAACAGGCTTTTTTCAACTATTCTACAAGCAAAAGGATCACTCGACCAGGAAATACTGATGATCCATCAGGAGGCAACAAAGTTCTTTTGCTATCAATTCAGAATCCTCTTTATCCGATTACAGTGGTATGTATTTTAGTGTGACAAAATGAATAAAAAGTGATTTTGGAATTTACCTCTAGAGTAATCAGCCTATAGTTTTCTTCATTGCCGTCTAGATATTTGAAAACTGTTCCTTTTTTAAGAATTATTAAAATTAATGTTGATTTTCAACTGTCATGTTTAACGAACAAAGAAAAAATGATACACATTGAAACTAAGAGGCCAGAAGCACAGTTGTCATAATTAAATAAGCACATTTATTGAATTTTATTATTTAGCATCAGTGTCATTTCTGTTTGTGATAATAAGGGACTAGACAGCCTTGTTGGAAGTGGTCCAAGAAATCTCTTACTCAGATGCCAGCACATGTAGTAAGAGCATCTACTAGGTGATGACAGAGTCCCACAGTACAGTAAGAGCCACATATCATGCAAACTATTTTGAGATAGCTTGTTAAAAACCTGACTTTGGTTTACTTAAAATTCCCCGATTCTTCATCCTTTTAAAAAGTGGTATTAGTAGAATTTTTAAAAAGGATTTGTGTCCTGAAACAGTTAAGTCTTCATCATCACATGCTGTTTCATAATAAGCTGGTGAAAAAGACACTTGATTTTGTAATGAATAGAATATCACAATCAATTATATGATTTCTGGCATAGTTATTTGATATTGGGGCATCATAGGCTTAAAGCAAAGCATAAGATACCCTGAGATTTAATTGGGCATTATAAATCTGTTCACTTTTTTTGCACTATTTATTGACCTATGTTACAGTATTAATATATTTACAATATTTGCTGTTCTGGGAAGAATGAATACTTGTGTGTTGCAGTGATGCTGAATGGGTTTCAGCAGCTTCCAGACTAAGACTAGGAAGAAAGGCCTGGCAATCTGCTTCTAAAAATCAACCAGTGAAAACCCTATGGAGCATAAAGGTCCAATCCACAGCCTATTATGGGAATGGCGCAGGACCTAGTAGCGCTTTGTTCTGTTGTGCATGGAGTCACCATGAGTCCAGGGCTAGCCTAACAGCAGCTAATAACGAATCTACTACAGTTACTCTGAATTTTTTATTGTTGTATCCCTAACTATTAGTGCCTAACAGTGCAGATGTGTAATTGTAGATGATCAAGCAGTTTCATGAAAGTCGAATAATTGTTTCTAAGTGAGTGTTTAGATTCCATTTAGATGACTCAAGCATCATCTTTGGTGACAGCTATCATTGTATGATTAATATACTGTGGATCTTTTTTCTATAGCCATTGTCCCTTGAAAAATGAATACCAGAGTTGAATACTACCCCTTAATAAATATTTATTGCTGTAATTCAAGAGATTATAATATTAGACATGTCAGTCTCGTTTGGAAAAAAATAAACATAAATTAATGATTATTAATTAATTTTTAGTTTATTGATTGTCTATTGTCAGAGATTAGTTTAGGCACCTGTTAAGAAAATAAGAATTGAGGATTAATTTAGGAGATAAAATAGGTAACAATGTTCCTCACGTTTCATTGGAACTTCTTTAATATGGTTGTATTATGTAGGGAAGGAAATAACTTTAGGTTAATTAAAGTGTAACAGTTTGAAAGTTAGTTAAAAGTTTTTAACCTTTCTTATTGAACTTTTTAAATGGTCATGGTTTATGTAAAAATTACTCCTGGATGTTTAATTAATAATAGAAATGATATCTTGACAAGTGTTGGTTTTTAGGTAAAACAAAATAAACATTAGAGTATAGCTTTAATGTTTTTCTAAATGTAAATTGTGAAGAAATCTTGTTTTTTTTTTCCATAGGATGTTTTATATACTGTATGCAACCCTGTTGGAAAAGTGCAGCGTATTGTTATTTTCAAGAGAAATGGTATACAAGCAATGGTTGAATATCCTTTATTTGTAAATATTTTATTGATATGGATAAATGGTGTCTGATTTACGTGAAAATGATTTCTACCTGCATAAGCATTTCTAGAGAAGTGATGTTTCCTTTTTCCCATCACAAAAATCTACTTGACTTAGTTTTTTTTTTTTTTTAAATAATATTTTACTGTGTTTTTGGTGAAAGATTAGAAGGCAAATTAGGTTCCCGTTTAACAATTTCTGTGCAGATTGTTTAGTGGCATTGGTTACATTTTGCACAATGTGCCAACATTCTCATTATTTCCATTCAGGTTGCTCTGATTCCATTAATCTAGCTTCCCTGCTCCCCTCCCCCCATTACCTTCTCATCTTTGCTTTAGGGTAAATCTTGACCATTTAGTCTCATATAAATGGTTTTTTAAAAGAGCTCAGTACTCACTGGTGATATTGTTTATTTTATGAGCCAATCTGTTATTTAGCTGAAAGGTGACCTCTGTAAGTTGTTTCAGTTCCAAGTTTAAAGGGTATCTCAGGGTGACAGTCTTGGGGGTTCTTCTAGTCATTACTGGTCCAGTAAGTCTGTTAAATTTTTTTTTAACAATTTGAGTTTTGTTCCCCATTTTTCTCCCATTCTATCTGGTACCATCTATTGTGTCCCTGGTCAGAATGTTCAGTAGTGGTAGCCTGGCACCATCTAGTTCTTCTGGTCTCAGGATAGATGGGGCCATGGTTCATCTGGGCTTTTAGTCCTGTAGTTTGTTCTTTGAGTCTTTGGTTTCCTTCTTTCTCTTTTGCTTCAGGTGAAGAGAGACCAATAGTTGTATCTTAGATGGCTGCTGTCAAGCTTTTAGGACCCCAGATGCTACTTACCAAACCAGGATGTAGAACACAAACTTTATGAACTATGTTATGCTAGTGGACTGAGTTGTCCCATGAGACTGTGATCCTAAGCCTTCAAACTCAGTAAACCAGCGAGGTGTTTGTTATGTCCAGGTTGGCTTAGGTTTTAAAAATGAAACTGCTACCGTAAAACAGTCCATTGCTTTATCTTGCAGTGTACTTTGCCTTTATAATGGGGGAAAATAATTAATAACACTATTCAAAATGCGTACGCTTATACCTTTTTGAAACTTACCCCAAATGAACTTTTCTGAATCTTCCCTTAAAATAGGTAGTTTGAAGTTCCAACACTTTAAAGCCAGTAGAACCTTTCTAACCTTTCTTACTGAGGTATTATTATTATTATTATTATTATGGTTTATGTGAAAATTACTCCTGGATGTTAAATTTGCTGTATGTTGAGTAAAAAGAGAAAGTTGTTTAAGAGTATATATAGTACAATACCATTTTTAAATAAAAAGAAAAACTAACCTATGTGTGTACGCATAGAAAAAGGTAGAGATATACATCAGACTCTTACTAGTGCTTGCTTCTGACAAATTTTTGTTGTGGTTTTTTTACTTCATATATTTTTGTGGTTTGATATATGTACGTATACATGTATACATATTACAATCATGGTCTGTTGTAATTTTTAAAAACTAATAAAATGGAGATAGTTAAATGATCATAAAACCCTACCTTTTTAGAAATATATGTAAAAATGCTATATTATTTTTGATTCTTTGTAATGTTCTTCCTACTTTGAGTAGTATTTCCTGTTTCAGAGTAGCAAGTTGCCCTTGGAGAATGGGACCACACTCTATTCTTTTTTTTTTAATTTGGTTATATGATGTTTTATTTGAAACCCTTGATCTTAAAATTAATTTCTCCTAAAATTCAGCTATAAATTGTATTTAGTAAGACATTCCCAGAAGTGAGTTACTTCTGATTATTTTCAGTCTTTTCCTTAGAGAGTGGGTAATGATTAAATATTGGACACCTTAAACCAAATTTCCTTAATAGAGCGTATGTTTGAATCAGTCCTTTGTGCCCAGAAAGCTAAAGCAGCACTCAATGGAGCAGATATATATGCTGGATGTTGCACACTAAAAATTGAATATGCAAGGGTAAATATTTTTATTTAACATTTCACCAAAGAAATATTTGTACTTTGGATATATAATTCGAACTTACTTTCTTTTTGATCTCAACAGCCAACGCGTCTAAATGTTATTAGGAATGACAATGACAGTTGGGACTACACTAAACCATATTTGGGAAGACGAGGTAGGTATTTTATTCATTTTAGAATGTACTTAACATCTGTTGAAAAATTTTAACATGCAGCTAGATTCCTTTTTCCTGCTATGAACTAGTTAATTCAAATGAAATCCTTGTTGATGAAATGCTTTTTTTGCAAAAGACGATGTAATGCTGGAAAATAACCTTGAACATTAGTGCCCCCTACTGGTATGTACTGAGCTATTTATATTTAGTTCAACAAGGAGCCCACACATACAGGCACGCCCGCAGTTCAAGGACTTGCATTTCTCCAAGCAGCTCTCTCTCTTTGGAGGAGAGGAAACTGATTCAGAATAATCCTTACAAACTTCAGACTTGCACACTGCTTCTCTCTGGAAAGGACTTTTCCCCCAAGCTGGACGAGGCATTAAGAAGGATAGAGGACTCCGGCAGGCTGACTCTACACCTCATCACGCACATCGGCATCAGCAAAAAGCCCTCTGAAAACTCAAACTTGCAATTCACCTTGACTGCATACTGCATGCACCACCACCCCACGTTTTCAAAGGAGGACACTTAACAGTACTTCAGAGTTGCATGGGATGAGCACCATGATAGACTGTGCCCATTTACTCAAGTTGTATGTGTATATTGGTCTGATTTCCCTTAAGGTTTCAGTTGTAGAATTTAAGACTTTTCACTAACGAAAACCAGACTTTCTTTACAATGTTGTAAATCTTCATGCCCATTGCTGTAATTGTTTGCAGCTTACATTCAAATTGTTAATTGGTGAATAACCAGGGCCAGTTTATCTATAAGCCTTGGGAGTTAATAATGCTCAACCAATCCACACAGGTATATTAAAGATAAAACAACTAGAAAGGTGCATACTTTGCTGCCCTTAAGTTTATTTTCTTGTTTCTTTCTCAATTGTGAACATTGAACAGAAATTCTAACATAATGGAAAGGTGCATTATATGTAAAAGGCATTTTTCTGTGTGGTTTGATTTTTGTAAAGTGGCTGTTTATAAGTTGTCACTTTTTGTAAAAATCAAGGTTATCACTAATGTTAATTTGTGTAACTAGAAATTTTGACATTTCAAATGTAGGTTAAAGTACCATGTCTGTTCAAGGTAGAGTATATTTCAGCTTGATACATCTGAAAATAAGAGCATTTCATTTGAGATGCATTTTCACTTATAACCTATAAATGCTAGATTTCATGAGAATAGCTTTGACTGATGAAATTGTTCAGCTAACTGTGTAGCAGTTCTGGAATTTACAAATCAAAATGTGGATCTTGTAAAAACAAGGGGGCTGCAGTATTGGCTACATCTCAACTACAATATCAGTATTTGAATCATGTGTTGGAAAAAGTCACCAAGATGAGAATGTCTGTAAAACTCAATAAACTAGAAAATTTTTTTATGGCACCCCAAATACCTTGGGTATTAGGGACTCTACAGTACATGTACTATAGCAAAACAACAACAACAAAAAAGATAATGCAATTACCTTTATCTGCATGTTCAAATATTTAGGACTTTTGGATGATTGGGCCCCTTTAACTCTGATTCCCAAGGAATCATCTTGCCTTATGCTTGGGGTTGCAAACGGGTATGTTTTGTAATGCAGATTTGGCTGGACCCCACATTTTCACTATTCATGGAAATCTGCTTGGCCACACTTGGTGCAGTGGAATGCAATTATTGGAGAATAAAGCCTTAGTACTCAAACAGCAGGACAGGTGGTTGATGAGAAACCTCACACTTCTGTCAGTTTACATTCAATGAATTTTTTTTTTTTTTTTCCTGTTCACACTCATTTGAAATAGTGAATTTTGGTTACATTTCTCAGAATGTCTCTTAAAACATTAATTGTTGTTGTTAGGTGCCATTGAGTCCATTTTGACCCATAGCAACCACATGTTTCTGGGTTTTCTGGTTTGCAGTCTTTACAGGAGCAGATCGCCAGGTCTTACCTGGCTACTGGGTAGGTTCAAACCACCAGCCTTTCAGTTAGCAGCCAAGCGCTTAACTGATGTGCTACTAGGGCTCCTAAAAACATTTATTGGATATGCTTTTTATTTTTATTTCTAATCTTTAAAGAGGTTTGGAGTTTGCACAAAGCCAGTTTAGATTATTTTTTCATACAAGAAAAATGAGTTTAGAAATGTGTAAGGTAGATACTTAAATAGTGAAATATAATTAAAGGAAGTAAAACAAATTTAGTTGTTTTGCTTCCAAGGAAAAAAAAATCTTGTTTTCTGTTTCCTTGCAGATAGATATTTGTGTCTGGCGAGACTATGGAAGTTTACATTTTTGTTTCTGTGGTAATCTCAGTTTGCTCTCAAGTTGATAGAAGACAATTGAAACTTAGCTGCTACCCCCAAATAAAGACTCTCGTAACTTTTTCTGCCCTTGCCCCTCTCCGCCCAAAAAAAGCTGTTTTAAAAACAGCGTCATTAAAAAAAAGTCCTTTACAGGCCTAATTGCATTTTAGTGCAAAGAATCCTTAACCTGGTCTTCAGGGAACCCCTTCAGATATGTTAAGCAAAACTTGTATATATGTGCATCTTCCTGGGGAGAAGCTCCACAGTTTCCATCAGGTTTTAGAAACTGAAAGGTTATGAACCACTATTTAGAAACTGGTATATTCAGTTTGACTCTCGCATCACTTCTTCAGTTTTATATGACCTTATAATGAGAATATTTGACCGAAAGAGACCTTGGAGGTCACCTACTCTTAACTCCTTCATTTTATGAATGAAGATTGTGACTGCCCATGATTATACAGCAAATAGTGGTTAAATTGGAATCTTCTGATTCCCAATCCAGTGCTTTTTTTCCTTTTTAGCACACTGTTAACTGTAACAATAAAACTGAGCCATGAAGACATTACAGTGGTTTTGGTTTATTTCTAGATCAGATAAAGAATTGTATTTAGTGTTTGGTGGCATACTTAAGCAGAGGAATATAACAGACTGGATTAGCAGACTGGATTTATTGAAGAGGAGTGAGATTTAAAGGGTGAGATATGCTGGATGCCATGTAATGGAAAGAAGGAATTGTGAATATTTAGTTGGGAGAAGAAATGACCTTGGAAGAGTGGAGGCGGGGATGGTGGGATATAGTAACTTTTCAAGCATTTGGAGAACGATTAAGTCTGTGAGGCCCCAATAGTGGGTAGAGTATGGACAAAGGATCAATTTTTATACAATATAAAAATTAATTTTTGCATGATTTAGGACTATTGGAAAACGTAAGGGAAGATAGTGAATTCCTTGTCACTGATGTCGGTTAAGCAGAGACTAGATGGTCCGAATTGATAGGGATGAAATAAAGAGAATCTATGTACCAAATAGAAGTTGAATTAGATGACCTCCTAGGTCCCTTTCAATGCTATGATAACTTGGGATAGATAATTAAACTGAAGTGAAAATTAAAGTAATTCTAATCTCCATAAACCTCATTTGTTTATGACTAAGGGTATATGCAAAGTCTTTCTCTTCGAGAATTTTCAACAATTAGAATGACCAGAGCCTTAAGATATGTAAAAAAAGCCTTAGTGGGCAATTGTGATTCCATCAGCAAACTTTCTAAAAGTATTTTACGATGATTTTGAAAATTTACTAACCAACATTGGCAGTGCCATTTTAGAAACCTGCAAGTAATTTTTTAATTGATGTCTCAAATTAGATTTGGGAAAATTGGCCTCCCCCCCCGCCTGAAAATATAACTAGAATAAAGATATCCTTTAGAAGTATTGTAGTACTCTCATCCAATAATGTAGCCCCCTTGCTTGGCTTTATCTTGGCATATTTAAACTTTGGGGGTGCTCACAATCCTGCCTGGTGTTAAGGCCTATAGACAATGGCCAATCCATGATACAGTACGGGCCAGTGATGTACAAATTTTCAGCTCTCAAGTCAGTAGGTGTTTGTAAATATGTGTATATACATATAAAATACTCTGTGTTTACTGATTGTGAAACCATGTAATACAGGTTGTTGTTGGCTTATGCTGAAACTTCTTGAAAGAAGCCCACTTTGAAAATGTGTTGCTGTTGAAGCTAATAGTATGATTCAGGTACTGTCTTTCAAAAGTACTGCACTTAAAGCTTGTTTTAAAGACATGTATTGGTAAAAACTTCTGTACAGTGTCAAACTCTAGCATTGTGTACATTCACTTTTTGAAAACTATCCATTCTTCCCTTAAAATTTGAAAGCGTGTTTGTATTTTAGCATTTGCCAAAAAGATATTTTCAAGTTAAGTGGAATTTGTTAGATAGAATTATTTTTCTAAACTTCTGTTGTTTGTATTTAAATTGGATATGAATGGATGTTTAAAGTTAACCAGGAATCATATTTCTTTTATGAATTGTAATGGATGTTTTGAAGGGGTGTTCCCCATGTGAGAACTGTTAAGTGCTTGGGTTAAAATTGTTAAAACCATGTTTCTACTTTTGTGTCAGATAGAGGAAAGGGTCGCCAGAGACAAGCCATTTTGGGAGAACACCCTTCTTCGTTTAGACATGATGGCTATGGTAAGTTTGCCAAGGCAGAAGGAAGGTAGTATAGATGAACTATTACAGTTTTTGCATTTCTGATGAAGAATTGCACATTACTTGCCTTTATTTTTTCTGTCCATCTGACTTGGTTTATATGGGGTCAGTCCGCTTATAATATACTTCCAAGGAGTTGTCCAGAATTCTTTATTTTCTTGAGATATTGACATATCAAATGATCCTTGAGATAAATGAGAGCTGTTGGTTGGGAATTGAAAACCTTTTTGCTTTTCTGTTTTGGTATGTTTTGGTTTTGATTTGTAATGACTCTGGCCTACTAGAGAACCAAAAAAGAAGTATTATGGCTTAGTAAGTATTTACTTCCATTTCAACAATTTTGGGCAGTGAGGAATTTTGAGTAATAAAGGCAGAAAGAACGGGATTATTTGTCAAAAAGGAAGCATGTTTCTGAATAGATCCTTATCTCAGTTTTACAGTTGGTATTTTGGTTTTGGTTAAATTTGTTTGTATTTACTTCAGATCCCTCTTTAAAAACACTCAGCTTTTAGATTTGCTGTTAAGATATGTTGATAAGTTAAGGTTATGAAGCCCAGAATAATAATCTTCTCCAGGGAAAAGTTAGTAATCCTTGTAAGGAGATGTTGAGAATTGCTATTGATAAACCTTTTAGCTGCTTATAAATTCTGTGGTTTTATGTGTTTTAGTGGTAGTTAATGGTCCCACCTTTCTGTGGTTTAAATTTGAAGTATAATACTATTAGAAGTGGCAGGAAATAGAAATTGCTGTATTGTACTCTTGGGACTTAAAAAACGCCTAGTGTTGCCTGTTATCTAAAATGTTTTAAAATTACCTACGTGTTTACTTTAAGGACCATTCTTAGCTGTGAGTTTTAGCTTATTCTCTAGTGTCTTTCTTTGAACTCTAAGAATTTGTTACCTGTGATTTATGTATATATTTGTTTAAGTTTCTATGGTAGCCTATATGGCAGAAGAGATTGAAACAATCTCTGTTAATGGTAAAACAGTCAGTGTGGTATAGAATGAAAATCTTATTATGATTGTTTAGTGAATGTGTTCCTTGGTCATTTCACTTAGTCGTTCCTGAAACAGTACATATTAGATACGGTCGTGTGGGTAGTTCTCCTGATCCTGCAGTAAAAAACCACTTATTGTGAGCCCGTTGTGCTTTGCATAATGGAGGGTGACAAAACAGTTGCTAGTCACAAGTTCATAGTCTGGTTGTGGAGTTAAATATGTCATGACAGTCAGCTGAAGGCTAAAAACTGGTTAAATGTTTTGCCACAGGGGTCTAGAAAAATCTGGGAAAGAATAAATTGAGGACAAAGAACCCTTCTGTGGTAGTGTTGAGACAGGTTATTTTCTCAGTATAGGTTTTCAGGTTTGCCTTCCTTTATAAAATACATTTTACTGGAAATTGTATAAACAGAAATATGTTGTATGCTCTAGAAGAACTTTATATTAAAAAAAACTGTTGTAAAAATCTTTGAAAATTTCATGCCTTAATGTTTGCGCATGTGTGCAAATTTTAAAATGTAAGCTTACTTAAAGAAAGGTGCAACATTCTTTGGGGTGACAGTTGTTAAGTAGGAATCATTCAGGTGCTGGACTCCTGATAAGGAGGAATGGTTGTGGTGGGGTTATGTAAGGGTGTCCTTTTCTGGACTACCTACATAAAAACTTCTGAGGATAATTTGCTCTACTTTCCCAGGTATGTAAACAGAATTGGGTGTAGAAGAAGAGAGAATAAAAAGAGGCAGAGAAGTAAGATGAGGAAATGGGAGAAAAAAGCAAAGGAGAGGAGGTGCTAATGATTTTGTTTTTACAAATTTTGCAAGTCACAGCTGTATCCCTTCAGATCAGCACTTCAACAAAACAGGTTTATTTACATTTTGGGGTCCCATCACTGGTGGCTGTTGCTGTGTGATGGTATGCGAGACAGAGGGAATACAAAAAGTTAATTATGGTTCAGGACCTATAGATTCCATCAGAGTAAATTTATTCAGTGGTTTATTTTAGTAGTATAAATCTATGCTTATCATTGGAATTCTTTTAAGTCTTTTAATTTGGGGAAGCCCAACCTTAATGAAATGAACTGGTAGCAGTGCTCATACTTGAACAATGGCAAAAATGAATATACAGATTTATTTGCTGTGAGCCTAAGAAAAGTTTATATGTTCATCGTTAGCATCTTTGGTTATGGTTCCCGGACCAAAGATTTCAAAGTTCAAAGATGAGAAACACTTCTAGAATATAATAACATCATCTTATGTATGTAGCATTTTCCCACATTAATTGAATTTTTTAAATACCTGAAGAATTAATCTTTTAAGCGTCAAAACTGTTTGCATTAACTGTTTAGTAAAGAAAGCTTTTAAAATTCTTTCCTGTCTTCTCAAACAGTATAGATAACAATTTAAATAATATGTTGTTAGTTGCTGTCAGGTCAGCCTCCTACTCATGGTGACCCCATGCCCAACGGGACTGGACCATTGTGATCAATAGAGTTTACACTGACCGATTTTCAGAAGTAGATTGCCAGGCCTTTCTTCCAAGTCAGTCTTAGCCTGGAAGCCCTACTGAAACCTCATCAGCATCATAGCAACACCCAAGCCTCCACTGACCAGATAGGTGGTGGCTGCACTTGAGGTGCATTGGCTGGTAAATGAACCTGGTCTGTTCATGGAAGGTGAGAATTCCACCGCTGAACCACCACTGTTGTTGTTGGGTACTGTCGAGTTGATTTTCGACTCATAGTGGCCCAATGTGACAGAGTCGAGCTGTGTCATAGAGTTTTTTTTTTCCCCTCAGAATTTTCTTGGCTGTAATCTTTATGGAGTGCCACCAGGGCTCCTTTTTAAGTACTGTAGGTAACGTAATTGCAAACATCAGTTATTCTCTTGGACTGAATTTGGTTGTTACCTAGAGTAGTGGTTCTCAAAAGGTTTTGGACCTTGGCCAGCTTAAGCAAAGTGAAAGTTCCATTGTCCACCTACCTCACATTTTTCCATTTTCCATGAAGAAGAAAATTCAGTAACAATCATAAAGTATCATTACTGTATAAGCAAATGGTAGTGGTGGTGTTTGGAGGGGGCAATATAATACATATACATTCTTTTGCAATAAGAATAAGAATGATTGATATTTGAACTTTTGTGCATATATAATGGTGTCAATTAGAGGCCAGCATATGCATAGTTACTAGCAAGTAACTTTCCATGAACTGTGTTGATTGTCTTGATAAGCTACGAGGTATCAACAAGAAGAGCAGTTGAAAACCATGGCCAATTTAAGGCAGTGCTGAAGCTGATGCATTGATAAAGTATCCCTCCCTAAAACTGCAGGAATTCAAACAGTGTTGCGTGTGCTCAGTGGTAGTGTTGCTGTGTTGTTGTGAATGGCAGCTGTAATCAGAGTACTGACTGGCATCTACCATAAGCTGTATAATAGCATGCTGATCTTAGTTGAATACCCAACTTTAATAGTCATTGGTAATTCACTTAGTAGATAACAGATATTTCTTAGTCCTACAAAAAAATGGAAGTCAGTGACACGCATTATTTTCCTCTTGAGAAATGAGGAAAGGACTTGAGTTTTTGGATTGGTTTCTTGCACATTTGGAAGACCTTTGCGTGTACCCCGGACTATGTTTCTGTAATCACTAACTCAGGGTCACCTAAGATGTGTAAGGTTTATGTTTCTAAACTACATGTCTCCATCATAGTTGTTTCTGAGTTCTTATGCCTCTTGTCTTGCTGCTGTAAATGTGCCCTGTGCCTCCTTTTGGTATCACAGTTTCTCCAAACTCCCTTACTCCTTTCCATTCCATACTCTGGCTTTATTTTTCTTGTTACTTCTGATCTTTTGTGGATAAGCAACCAGATAAATAACTGAAGTTAACAAAATTGACTCTTAATGAGGTTTCTCATGTAAGAGACTTAGATTTGTATGTGTGTGTGTGTCTGTGTTTCTGTGACAAGAGTTTCAGCTACTCAGAGGCATTATTTTCTTCTGGGTTCTTGACGTTCGAAAAATGGAGATTGCTGAATAATAAGATAGTTTGGGTAGGGGAGGTGTTAACTAAGCCTAGGGTTTTAGTTTCCTCAATTAGAATTAGGAGATTAAATGCTAACCTGAAAGTTCATTACAGTAAAATATGTTCAAGGAGACAACTTTTCAGTGGAACTAAAAGTGTTCTGTTTGTTTATCTATATAGAGATACAGAGGTAGTTTCCTAGATTTCACTATTTTTATTACATTACTTCTCCAAAAGACTACTACACTGGCAGAGGTTTTTTGCTCTTTTTTGTTTTGTTGTTTTTATTTGAGGTATAATTTATATATGGAGGCAGAAAGTTTAACGTAGATTTTTTTACCCCTCTATCTAATCTCATATGCTTTGTTTTGTTAGGTAAACTAATATGTAGTATATGAATTTGTAGGTTGATATATTTAGGTCAATGTTTATTGGACCTGGTACAAATAAGTATAGCCTGTTGCTGTCGAGTCGGTTCTGACTCATAGCGACCCTATAGGACAGAGTAGAACTGCCCTATAGGGTTTCTAAGGAGGGGCTGGTGGATTCTAACTGCTGACCTTTTGGTTAGCAGCCTGAACTCTTAACAGCTGTGCCACCAGGGCTCCCAAATAAGTATAGATTTTATTAATTTCCCACAGGTTATATTTAAATATTCACGTTTAAGTTTTCCTTGGACATACATCAAACTAGCTAAAACTAAGAGTTTTTTTTTGTGTTTGTGGGGAAGTGTATCTGTTGGAGTATTTACAAATGGAATTATACTTTGTTTTTGTTTTAAATCATTTTTATAGGATCCCATGGTCCATTATTGCCTTTACCAAGTCGTTACAGAATGGGCTCTCGAGATACACCTGAGCTTGTTGCATATCCATTACCACAGGCTTCTTCCTCTTACATGCATGGAGGAAATCCCTCTGGTTCAGTTGTAATGGTTAGTGGATTACATCAACTAAAAATGAATTGTTCAAGAGTCTTCAACCTATTCTGCTTATATGGAAATATTGAAAAGGTAAGTCTCATTTTATATATTAGTTTCTTTTGCTAGGACATCTAATAGGACATTCTGAAAAGACTGCAAATATCTAAATGTCTTCTTTTTGTAACTCTACTGTGTGGGAACACCAGAAATTATTTTTTATTGGTAAGTGATAAGTATAGTTTGTTGGTACTAAACATATATTCTTAATAACTAATATAAAAAGAAGCCCCAAACAGTAGTTTAATCAACTTTAATATTAGAGGCATAGAGCCTATATTTATGATCGCTTTGATGATACGCTAGCATTTAAAATGTTGAAGTAGGGGATTTGAAGGAGTATTTACTTTCACGGAGCTAGGTATACATAAACATGGTTCAGAGCTTATCCACAAGTCGTGAATTTTAGGAGAGTTCTAGGATTTTATACATTTATTTCTTAAACACTAGGGTTCTAGTATTTTCTGAGGAACAATGTGCTTTTTTTTAGCTCAATCAGTATTTGAAACTGAGCCACTTTGATAGAATGTCCAAACTTTTTGGCCAGAGGTTTGCACTCAAAAAGTAGCAGAACATTTAAAATTTACATATTTTGAAGGTCTTTAAAGATTGTAACTTTATTTTTGCTAGGTAGTTCTCTGATTCCCCAAAATCTGTGATGTTTTATTCCTCATGTCTCACAAATACTTAGAATAGTGTTAGAACTTAGTCAATGCTAAAATCTTTTTGAAAGGATCACGGAACATTAAACTGGAGAAATGAGTGATAGTCATAAATTACTAGTTGTTTGGTACACTTGCTAGTTTGAGTTTGAAAGCTAGAGTAATGTTTTTCCCCCACTGTTGTGTTAATCGATTTTAGTGTTCTTCTCAACAGTAAAAAAAAAGTGCATGCATGTGAATTGTTAAGTGTGTGAGAGGGTGAGCATGGCTTGAAAAATTGGTATTCTTTGTTAATTCTAAAGCTTTCTTGATCTGAGAAAGCAACTTGGGAAATCTCTGAGACAAGAATTTTCTTACCGTAATTATTTGACCACATTAAAAAAACAAAACAAAAAAGAAAGCTCCACATTTGGTCTGGGAGATAACATATAACTTATAACTGCTTACATAACTGGCCAAGAATACACGGGACAGATGGGCGACACTGGAAAAAGTGGTTCAGATTTTTCTGCTACAGACATTTATCTTATACCCGGGTGTTTAGTTAAGATCTAGGAAATGCATGCTTGATAACTAAATGGGCTTTAATGTATATTTTAATCATCTTTACATAGTGTTACTTTTTTACTTGTGCTTTTCACATTTATAGACAACCAGAATTAGGTAGTTCAATCAATATCTTTAGTAGGTCTCTATCTTTTGTGTTATAAATTAATTGTCTCATATGTTTAGAAACCTAAATCACTTTTTTCTAATACAACTTTTCTGTGTGTTATTTGACCAGTTCTAGTCTCTGTTACTCTACATCTCCTCACAAGTTATTTTTAAACATTTTAAAATAATGCATTATGGTAACATTAAACTCAAGCTATTAAAATCCTTTAAAGATCTGTATAGTTAATTTTTCCTTATTTTTTTCTTTTGTGATTTACCAGTAAAAGAACTACGTATTTAATACATATGTTTAGTCACTAGTAGGTTTGTTGGTTGTTATTGGGTTAAATTAAGGTAGAGGAATTTTACCTACAAAAAAGACAAGTGATTTCAAATAAAGCTGAAAAATCCTGGTAGGATTGAGTTTTGTTCAAGTACAGGAGTAGTATTAAAGTGCAGAGATAGTCCATGAAAATTGATAGTTGCAGTGATGGAAGAAATGCTGTGTTACATTTGTTGTATATATATACTCTCAGTATTCCTTTGAGAATGACAGATAAGAAGGAAGTATGTTCAAGGTGTCACATATATTGTACTTAATAGCTACTGTTGATAGGGCTAGGCACTATTTCGAGTGATTGCCGTATTTTATCCCCTCTAACCCTTGTAGCGTTATATACTAAAATTGGAATAATATGAGAGATTGAGTATGGCTTCTGCTCAAGATGTCATGAAAACGTGAAGTGTTCCCTACTTTTTAAACTGCCTCTACCTTGCATAGGCCTTCCCTGGCCATGCCATTTCCTGTTATTTCTTACATAGCATTGTATTTATTGCCTTAACAGCACTCTGCATAGTCTGTAATTGTTATTTATTGGCTGCTTTTTGATTTCTGACCTGCCTACTAGAATATAAGCTTCAAAAAGACCTTGTCTATTATGTTAATCATTAAATCCCTAGTACCTAGCACAGTGCTTATTAAAACATATTAGACACTTAAGAAGTATTTGTCAAATGAGTAAGTATTGATGTCCTGCCAAGTATTTATCACTTCCATTTTACGGGGACAGTCTGTGGCTCAGAGAAGTTAAGTAAATTACCCCAAATTGCACAATCAGTAAGTAATGGAGCCTGGGCGAAGTGTGTGCATTTCTTCAGTGTGCTGTACAATAGTCAAAATTAGTCTTCCTTTTTAACATACTGAATTTTAGTAAGAGTTAAGGATGTCTTTTAACACAGCAGAATAAAGTGAAGATTTCCAGATGCTCTGTATTTCACTTTAACTGCTTAAATCATACTACTTTTTAAAAAATTCCGTTATTGTAAAAGGAAATTATAAATGCTCACCTTTTTTGGATTTTTGTGTTTACAGGTAAAATTTATGAAGACCATTCCGGGTACAGCACTGGTAGAGATGGGTGATGAGTATGCTGTAGAAAGAGCTGTCACACACCTTAATAATGTCAAATTATTTGGGAAAAGACTTAATGTTTGGTAATTATTTATCTTAAATGATAAGTTTTAAAAATATTTTATAATTTTTTAGATCTCTGTCCTTCCTGTTAGAGACATTGAATTTGACTTCAGATTATTTTAGTATAACTGAGAGCATATCAAACTAACAGCTGTAGTATTGTTATTTTAGACAAAATACTAGGGTCATGTAGTTCAGAATTTGTTTACCTATACCTAGTTTTTAGTTTTATGATTATAAAACAGCATGTTAAAATGGAATAATTATTATGTTAAAGTTTTCTAATATGATAATAATAGATTTTCCTTTTAATTGATGTCTAAACTGTAAAAATGATTGATTATAATTCAAACTAAATACTCAGTTTAAATAGCTTTGTAAGTCCCCAGTCCCTCTTTTTTTTTTTTTTTTAAAGATTGATGTCAGTAAAATATGTTAGCATTTTGAGACTATTTGTTGCTTTTTATCGAACAGAAAGTATGATCTGTATGCTTTTCTTTTCCAATCTTTAGTGTATCTAAACAACATTCAGTTGTTCCAAGTCAGATATTTGAGTTGGAGGATGGTACAAGTAGCTACAAAGATTTTGCAATGAGCAAAAATAATCGCTTTACAAGTGCCGGCCAAGCATCTAAGAACATAATCCAGCCACCCTCTTGCGTGCTGCATTATTATAATGTTCCATTGTGTGTCACAGAAGAGACCTTCACAAAGGTAGGCATTAACTACTGAAATACAAATGTGTGTAGAATGTTGCTGTTTCCTGTTTTAAAATGTATTTTAGCTTTATTTTAAAGTCTTCTTGCTCTTTTTGTTTTCTGCTTTTGATATTATTAGTATTCTTTTATTTACTTGGTACTGTATAGTTCATTATTTGACCATTGTACTGTTTTGGCCTTCATTCTTCCTTGGTCTTTTGGCTCAGTCCTTTTGAGATTTGGAATTAGAACGAGATACCCTTATTCCTGTATTTAGAAAATTCTTTTACCGTGTTCTTAAATTTACCTATAAGAAAAATTTATGTAACTAAAAAATAACTAATTGTAAATAATGCTTTAGAAAAGAACTGGTTTTCTGAAACTCCACTCCCTTTCTTATGTACTAGATAAATCCTAGTCAGCTCTGAGAATATACATTTCAGTTACAAATCTGTGCTTTTATTGTTCAGCACTAAATAATTTAGTTTATAGAATTTCACTATTTTTAATTGATTTTCACATACAACTTGATATTAATCTAAAAATGCATTTGATTTAACTCATTCATGCCAAACTCAAAACTTAAATTCTGCAATAAAGTTTATTTCCTAAAAAAAGTAGAAATGTTGTTATTATTATTTTGGTCATGTTTTTTCATGAATTTTTACATTTCTTTGACAGTTGTGTAATGACCATGAAGTTCTTACATTCATCAAATATAAAGTGTTTGATGCAAAACGTAAGTGGACATTCCCTCCTTGTAAGTTTCTGGTTAGTTGATGGCAAGCAAAAAACAACTGGGCATGCATTTCTTTGTTTTGTTTTGTTGTAGCTTCTGCCAAAACACTTTCTGGGCTATTAGAATGGGAGTGCAAAACTGATGCGGTGGAAGCCCTTACAGCACTTAATCACTACCAAATAAGAGTTCCAAGTAAGTAAGATGGTTTATTTGTGTCAAAATTATTTAATGGAAATTAACCTTCAGAAACATTGGAAATTTTAAAATAACATTTATGAGGATTTTTTTTTCAATATAAAACCAAAAAAAGAACCAAACCCATTGCTATCGAGTTGATTCTGACTCATAGCGACCCTATAGGACACAGTAGAACTGCCCCATAGAGTTTCCAAAGAGTGGTTGGTAGATTCAAACTGCCAACCTTTTGGTTAGCAGCCAAGCTCTTAACCACTGCACCACCAGGGCTCCTTTTTTAATGTAGGGAAGTATAAAAAAGGAAAAAAAGACATATAATCTCACAGCCCAGATTATCTGTGTTTTAGTTACCTATTGCTGTGCAACAAATTACCACACAAGTTAGCAGTTTAAAAAAGCAAACATTATTATCTCACTGTTTCTGAGGGTTAGTAATCTGGATGCAGTTTAGCTGGGGGATTGTTCTGGTTCAGGATTTCTCTTGAGGTTGCAGTCAAGCTGTTGTCTGGGTCTGCAGTCATCTCAAACCTCTACTGGGCCTGGAGAATTCATTTCCAAGATCACTCGTGGTTTTGGCAGGCCTCAGTTCCTTGTGACATGGTTCTTTTCATGGTAGCTGGCTTCCCGCTGAGTGGATGATCCAAGAGAGATGAGAACAAGAGACCAACACGGAAGCTACCAAGTCTTTTATAACCGAGTGTTAGAAGTGACATGTTGTTGTTGTTAGGTGCCGTCAAGTCATTTCCGATTCATAGCGACCGTGTGTACAACAGAACAAAACACTGCCCGGTCCTGCGCCATCCTCTTGATGGTTGCTACAGAAGTGACATACTATCATTTATTCTGTATTCTACTGGTCACACAGACCAACCTTGGTACAGTGTGAGTTTATTGGAGTCATTTTGGAGGCTGGCTCCCACAGTCCCTATTGGCCATTTTAGAAGAAAGCAGTACCTGCATATGTTGAGAAAACTCAAACAGTAACACAGTAAGGTACAAAATGAAAAGTTAAAGCTTTTCACACCTCCAGCCTTTTTTTTGTCTCCTCTTTTCTCTTTCCTCCCCATTGTGTGTATATAGTTGAGTCTCATTATTTGCAGTAGTTATTAAGTTGCCTTGAACATTGATTTAGTGAATACTGAACCATTGCTCTAGGGAAATACAGGGTTAGGTTCCTGTAAGCCTCTGGTCGCAATATTTTCATCAACTGATCAATACAGAACCTTGTTTTTTGTGTATTTCTGTTTAAAGATGCCATATTTAATATATAATGTGGATTCATTAACATTGATCTCACAGTCAGCAGACTGTAACCCATGCCTGAATGAGAAGCTTATCTAACACACGTATTTTCTCTGGAAGGCACATCACAGCCTTCTTGTGATTAGGAACAGTAGACAGCAACTCAGCACTATGCTTGAGGGCCTTTTTTTTTTTTTTTTTTTTTTTTGTGGTAAAATATATGTAGGAGAACATTTGCCGTTTTAACCATTTTTAAGTGTACAATTCAGTAACATTAATTACATCTACCATGTTGTGCAAGCATCACTAGTATCAAATTCCCAAAGTTTTTCATCACCCTAAACAGAAATTCACTACCCCTTAAGCAACAACTCCGTTTTTTCCTTCCTCCAGGCCCTGATAGCCAGTAATAAACTTCTGTCTTTATGCACTTGCCTGTTCTAGATATTTTGCATAAGTACGATCATGCAGTATTTGTCCTTCTGTGTTTGACTTGAGGGCCATTTTAAACAATGAAACTACCAACAAAAAGTGCAGAAGATAAAAAATGTGGCGTTAAGTAAATGATGAAAAGGACACTTGTTTACTGAAGCAAGAAGGCAGAGTGTCCCCTTGTGCAACCTCAGCTAGGAGCGTGCACTTTGGGCAGCTCAAATTTTTTGTGCCCCTGCACGTTATTGAGAAAACATAATTAAAAACAAAATCTACTGCCAACCCAGATACACTCTGCACAAAAGTAGAACAGAAAAAAAAAGTTTTATTATTGGATAAGCATTAAGCCAGAATGTAATTTACATCACAGGCAGTCCACTAAAGAGACTAAAGACAGATTTTATCCTTTTACGTAGTCAAGCGGATATAACCTATTTTATACGTGTTCTCAAGAGAAATGATAACTAATCCTCAGGACGACTTGACAGTGCCATTTATTATTTATCCTAAATTCACCTGATAATTAGAATAGCCACCTGTGTTTGCTAACGGCCTTTATCCAAAGACAAACATAAATGAATAAATTTTCCTTATTTTTATGAAGAGGAGATAGGTTTGCAAACTGGAGCCACGTGCTAGCTGGAGTTAGGCTTCTGGCCTCTCGGGACACTGGGAAATAGGGGTGCTCTCTTTCTTGAGTACATTTCAAAGACATGGCTTCCAAGTCCTTGAGGAAACATTCCTAGGTTGTAAAATTGACAAGAACCTTATTTAGCCTTTAAAAAGATTTACATACATTTCTAAGAGGCAGAGAAAGAAACTTAGAATTACAAGCATTCTAAAGTAAATGCTGTAAGAAAGGAGGAGGGCCTTTTCCCTTTTTTCAAGAGAATTAAGCCTCTTTTTCTTTTCCTTCTTTCTTGTAATTTCTGTTTGCCCTTGCAGTATTGATTTTGGAATTACAAATAAATTTTAGCAAGTAGGCAAATTCACAAGTATCGAATCCGTGAGTAATAAGGATCGATTGTATCTACGTGTTTTAAATTTACAGAGTGGTTCTTTCATAACATATGGTACTATGCTTTGTTAACTTTGTTGTTTTAACTAAATACATCTTGGAGCCATTTCTGTATCAGCATATGCAAAGCTACTTTTTAAAAAGAATTTACAGAATATTTATTCATAGTAGTGGTACAGTTTATTTACCAGTTTCTCACTGATGAACACTTTGGTTGTTTCCAATATGTCCTTATAGTTGTAATTTTAAAAGTGTGTTTGTAGGGCAGTTTCCTAGCAGTGGAGGGCATGTTGTTATTGTTAGGTGCCCTCAAGTTGTTTTGGACTCTTAGTGATCCCATATGACAAAGTAGAAGTGCCCCATAGGGTTTTCTAGGCTGTAATCTTTGTGGGAGCAGATCACCAGGTCTTTCTCCCACTGATCTGCTGAGTGGGTTTGAGCCACCAACCTTCAGGTTAGCAGCTGAGTGCTTAACCATTGTGCCATCAGAGCTCCTTAGTGGAGGGCATAAAAGTTTATATTTTGAAAGATGTGACTAGATTACTCTTTAGAAAGGTCGTATCTGTTTACATTCCTGGGTGTGGTATATAACAATGCCCATTGCCCAACCCTATTACGGTCATTGAATGTTTTCAGACTTTCAGTTTTTGCCAATAATAGATGAAAAATGATAACCCATTGTTTTAATTTGTATCAGATGAAATTGTCACCTTTTGTTGATTCTCTTCATCCTGTGCTCCTAAAGTTCAATGGCAAATGACCCCCTTTTTTTTGTTTTCTTTTTATTATTATTATTGTACTTTAGATGAAGGTTTACAGAACAGATTAGCTTCTCATTAAACAATTAGTACACGTATTGTTTTGTGACATTGGTTACCAACCCCACGACATGTTAGCACTCTCCCCTTCTTAACCTTGGGTTCCCAATTACCAGCTTTCCTGTCCCCTCCTTGCCCCTGGGCTGGTGTGCCCCTTTAGTCTTGTTTTGTTTTATGGCCTGTCTAAACTTTGGCTGAAGGGTGAACCTCAGGAGTGACTTCATTACTGAGCTAAAAGGGTGTCCAGGGGCCATACTCTTGGGGTTTCTCCAGTCTCAGTCAGGCCAGTAAGTCTGGTCTTTTTTTGTGAGTTAGAATTTTGTTCTACATTTTTCTCCAGCTCTGAAATGACCTCTTTTTTACGAGGTGAAGAATACTCAAGTATTTAACTTTTGAAACTTTGTGCTGTGTGATATACTTTGATCCTGGATCAAAAGGGTGTTAATACTGTATTTTTTTTTTTATAAAATAATAGAGGAAAATTATTACTGATTTTACTGGGTGTGATGGAGGAATGGTGGTTAAGAAATAAGAAGAAGAAAAATGCACACTGAGGGAATTATGGGTACAATAACATACCTAGGATTTGCTTTAAATATTCCAACCCCCCAAAGACTGTGTGTGGAGGATGGGTAGATGAAGCAAGACCGTCTAATGTTGATAATTATTGAAGTAATAGGAATAGTTTATCTTATCTTACTTTTGGTCTCCAAACTACGTTTTGAGTAGTGAATCAGGCTTAATTTTTGATTAAAAAAAACCCAAATCAAAACCCGTGGCAGTCGAGTCGATTCCGATCATAGCGACCCTATAGCACAGAGTAGAACTGCCCTATAGGGTTTCCAAGGAGTGCCTGGTGGATTTGAACTGCTAATCTTTTGGTTAGCAGCTGAGCTTTTACCCACTACGCCACCAGGGTTTCCTAATAGAACTGCCCCACAGGGTTTCCAAGGAGCAACTGGTGGATTCAAACTGCCGACCTTTTGGTTAGCAGCCAAGCTCTTAACCACTGCACCACCAGGGGGATGAAAAGTTGATTCTGACTCATAGGAAAATTTTAAGACATTAAAATTATATGCGTATTTGCCACATACATTCCAGATAGTGTATGGATTGTAAATTTCTTGGAGATGGGGACAATTATTTATCTTTTTATCCTCTGCAGTGTCTTGCAAATAACTTGTTGCAAATACTTGTTTTCCTTTATGGGAATTTATTTTTTTATTTTTTTTAACCTTAAGGAGCTATAACTTTCAATAGTAAAATTCTGGTGCATTAAGATACCAGAATTGTTTCTTTGCTTTGATTTTCTTGTATAATCGGTCGATAAAGAGTTATCTCTGCCTGCTCTAAAAAATTAAAGAAAATTTTATAAAATGGAAGTATTTTTGTGAATTACACCCCAATTCTTTTGGTATTTCAGACCCTTTATGTCCTGTTGATGATCTGAGATTGAATACTAGATCTTCTGGGACCTTTTGGGCTTGTGGATGTCTTCATGTACATTCCGGTCTTGTCCCACTCCCAAGCTGTATTTGAATTGACTTTAGAAAGGAGTTACCTTTGGCAGTATTTTCTGCACAGTGAACTTTGCTGATTTGTATGTATGATTTATTTGTAATGATCGGTTCATTCACTAAATGTTGAGTGCCTTCTATATGCCAGGTAATGTTCAGGACAGTAGGAATGTAGCAATGAGCAAAGTCTCTGCCTTCGTGGAGCTTACCTTCTAGTAGATATGAACAAAAATATCTCCTTACCTTAGACAATTTTTCTTCTTTATATTCTTGCTTCTAATATTAATAAAAAGGTAAAATAATTTATTCTGCTAATTCAAGGTGGTCTGAAAGTTTGATGAAGGTGAACTAACATAAACTTTTTTAAATTTTTACAGATGGTTCCAATCCATACACACTGAAGCTTTGCTTTTCTACGTCATCCCATTTATAAGAAGAGATGAGCATGTTAGAATTTATGTTCACCTTTATTACAGTTTTAAAGCTTACACTTCATTTAAAAAATCTAAAGTGGTTGATCTAATGTTGCCTTGCTTACTTTGATTTAAGATCCTGTTCTGTAATAAACATATTTTGCCTCAAGTAAATTTGTTGTAAACTTAAATATTGAATTGTTTTCATTTTAAAATAGAATATCATAATGTAGACTATCTACAGCTTCATTGTAGATTATGCAAATATATGATTTCTAACCTTATTGCTATAATTTTTCTTTCACAGTGAAAATACATTTGCATTCTTAATGCTAATTATCCACAAGTATTTTTCCATTGTGTATGAGATTAATGCAGGTGAAAGTATTGCGTTTTAATATTATAGAATTCCTATTATATGTTTAAGTATGTTGCAGTTACTCATATTAAACATAGCTTGTATTTATTATTTTAATCAGGTTTGAGAATAACATTGCACATATTGAATTTTAAGTACTACAGAGATTTATCTGATTTTATATTTCTGAAAGGCTAACAGACATGGATACACGTGTACAGTATTCACTCAAACTTATTTAAATTGGTGTTTTTTGTTTTTTTTAAGTCATTGTCCATTTGTATTGACATGCCTCTATCTGTTTCTAGTTCCAGTTTGGAGATTATAAATTTATAATGTTACAGCAACGAGTTAATGTGTTCCTCTTTATTTGTTGCATGTGACTTAATCTTGAAAATACGCCTGATACTTGACATTGAGATTTTAATAGAAGTTATGATTAACAGTTCCTCTTCTAGAAAATAATCTGGGATTCATGGATGGTCTTTAGGGAGTCTGAACCCCCTAAAGTTGTATGTAGAATTTTGGGTATTTGCATTTTTATTTTTTACTCTTGGATCCATCAGTAATATATGTATTTTTCTATATGGTGCAAGGTGTAAGGATCTAATTTTATTTTTATTCCAAACAAATAGCTATTTGTCTCAACACCATTTATTAAACATTCTTTCTTCAACTGGATTTGTTCTTTTCTTTTTTATGAAAATACTATACATAGGCAAATAAGATTTAAGGACTAAACATGGTAGTAAGAGACTATAGTATACTTGTTTCAAGTTTACTGCTTTTTTAGAATAGAAAACTGATGTCATATTCATCTTTAAGAGAAGGGAGTATTATATGTATCATGGACGTGGAATAACTATGAAGTCTATAGTTGGCAATAGCAATTTTGTGGTCTTGAGACTTTTAAATAAATTGAAAAATAAAAGTTTCACTTAGATCTTTTGTAAAGACTTTATTTTGGATTTTAATGTAAAAAAGGCAGTTTGCCTTTGCTCCTTCTGGAAATGAGTAATAGTTTTAAAAAATGTAAAGAGCTGTTTGATAGAAAGTTTAGGTTGAAACCAAACACACACTTACAGTTACTTCCTCTTGAATTTTGACAGCAGTAGACCAATGTCCCTTTAGCTCTCTAAACATGTAGAAAAATTTCAATGGGATCTAGAAGCATTTCAGATCCTTATCATGGACCCACTTATGCCAAGGGTAACTTAAGTGTGAACTGTAAATGTATGATACTGGATTATGTATGTTTCTTACTCATTGGTAATTTAATACCTAACTTTATGTAACTTTAAACAAACCTTTTTCCCCCCACAAATATTTTCTACATTTGTTGCAAAATTGAAATATCTTAACTTTAAAAGGCAACTTGTGGACTTGTGTAATAGTTGTCTCCCTTCCTTCTCCTCCTCTGACAGCTAACATGTCAGTGTTACAGATTTTTTGTGTCTAAGATTTTAGGAAACAAACCTGTGGATAGTGGCAGGGCTTGTTTAATTTAGATCTGCTTTAAGTGATGTTGACTTTTAGATGTGAACTCTGTGTTAATGCTCTCTCCCCAACACAAACACAAGGGAGTTCCTCAGGAGTAAACTAGTAAGTTAGGCCTCGCTGCAGTGATCTCTGGGCTGGTATATCAGCCCTATATTGCTGTTGTCACTCATGTCTTTGCAACTTGGGCAAAGTGAATGGAGCCTGCTTTCACAGCACTCCGTCTTTCCTTAGCCTTGACAATAACTTTCTTTCTTGTATTTTTGTGGCCTTTCCTATCTTTTTGCTTTTAGGAGAACATGAAATAACAGATTTTTAGAGTTGTAAAGAGTAAGTACTGGCTCTGAGTTTATTTTTTTTTTTTATTTGAAATCCAGTCTACATGTCCAAATGAGTTATATTTATATTCATATATATGTATATGAATATAAATTATTTGATAATCTGCCAAACCAAATTATGGAATATGAGCTGCTTTTTAAAATTCCCATTTATATATTTGCAACTTAAAAATTCGATCTACTATGTAAATCTTTTTTTGTTATATAGAACTGTCAGTTGAATTAAATAAAACAAAGTACAGAATTAGTAGCAATTCCTGATTTGAAAACTTACATAGCTCTCTTGTGCTGTGACACAGCTATCAGATAGGCCAAGCTGCTGAACAGTCTTGAAATACTTGCTTTGAGTCAATATGATAATTTGATAGTAATTTCTTATTGCCCCCAGTAATACCAAGAGAAATCAAGAGGCAATATTAATTATTTCTGGGGAGTAGCTATGTTTTATTGAGAGCCTAGAGAATAAGTAAATGGCTTGAAAGATTATGATTGTTAGCATAATTTTAGTGTAACTTATTAGATATTTAAATACCTGGGGAATAGCTTTGGAGCTATAAAACTTTATTATAATTTATGATCATGAAACTTAGCTTATTATGATAATTTCTGGATGTGGTTTTCATTATTTGAGATAGCCTTTTTCCTAGGAGAGTAGGGGAAGAAAAAAGACTAGGTAATGCCTGTATTGCACAGTACTGTACTATTTGGCAGTGAAGCTCAACATTAGCTGCATTTCTAACATTCAAAGCAAATTATATTATTCATTGATTTCCATGTAGAGTTTATCTGTGATTTTATGATGTCACACGTCATGAATGTAAAGCAGATACGGTTATTTTTGTTATAACTTAGGAGATGTAAAGGAAAAACAACAATTGAAACAAAAATGTCAGCTTCTACAAAAACCATTTTAGAAATGTCACTTGCAGCTATTTGGTCTCTTGGACATTTAACTCATTTGTCCAACATCTATGAAGTGCATGCAGTACAAGCTTGTGCAAATGGCTAGCTTTTAAAAGTCAACAGGTTAATTTAAGCTTATAAAGGAAGCAACAGAAAAATGGCAAAGGCATTTTTCCAGATACAAGGTGAAACACTGTATGAGAAACTGAAATTGATTAGCGAGTCTTTGTGTAATATAACCTGTTTTGAGTTTTATGAATTCCACTATAAAATGGAAAAATGAGGTCAAGGAATGATTGGCACTGTGGGGATTGGGGTGGAAAACAGGTAAAATAATTCTATTTCACGTATTAGGGATGACAGACCCAGATACTGCGATCTGCTCAAGTTTAATGAAGCATATATATAGGAAAATTACAACTTAAAGTTAAATTTGACTTAGATTGCAGATGTTAATCCTCAAAATTCTTACACAAACGAAAAAGCCCTTTTACTTCACTGAAGTAATTGGCCTTTCTCAGTGACTGGAAGGTATAGCTGTATTAGTCCAAACTGTTTTAATTGGTAAATGATTAGAAGGCAGATTAGTGGTTGCCAGCACCTGGGAGAATGGGGAGTGACTGTTAGTGGGTATGGTTATTTCTTTTTGGGGTGATGAAGATGTTTTGGAGCTAGAGAGTGATGATGATTGCACAACATTGTGAATGTACTAAATGCCACTGAACTGTACACTTTAAAATGGTTCAAACGGTAAGTTTTTATGTTTTGTGTATTTTACCACAATTAAAAAAAGTAACAGCCCAATCCTTTAAACAAGAGCTAGTACAGTGCATCATGGCTTTAATGTAGCTGGTTAGATATGTTGAGGAAGGGGAGTGTTATGGGATTCTGTGAGTTAGTTTTACCTCCTCACCAGCCGATGTGATATTAGGTCTGGTTTATGGTTGCAGTGCCATGGTGGCTGGCTACTACCATTTGTTCCCCTGTCACTGTGGACTGTGGGGTAAGGGAGTTGAATCCAGAAAGAGAGCCTACTGGGGTCTTGTGTACAGTGAACAGTTACAAAAAAGGATTTTTTGTGGGGGCAGGTAGGAGGGGGATGATTCCATGAGTAGAAACTAGACTTTCTCTGTGCTCCTAAACGGGAGTAAGTACAGTGGCTGCTCAGTTTAGGCTCTGCTGGGACTCTGCCCTGCTAGTTTTGAGCTTCCTCGCTTATTAAGCTTCAGCCTACAGGCAAACATATTCATGAATGTACTTAAATTTCTTTGAAAAATTAAAAGAGTATCCAGACTACCTAGTTTCATTTAGACTTTGACCCATATGCTAACATGTATAGAGCTGCTTCAAAATCTTGAAGAGGGATTCAATACTGATTTATATGTACAACAGTTGCATAAAAACAAAAACATTTTTGTGTGTAATATATCTATAAATCCTTCAGAGGGCTTTAGGAGGAGATAGAGAATGCATTTTGTTTTATGCACCTGTAAGATACATGTAAAAACTGAGACTTTTCTGCCACATACAAAATTGACAGGACTGATGCTAATATCAATGACCACAATCGTGGCAGAGCTTTTCTTGTTAGACTGTTAAAGCAATAAGTAAAACAGGACTGTTGCCAGCACAAATCCAGACTTGTCCTTCAAAGACCTACTACGATTGCCTATTTAATGCCATGATATTTCTCAGTAAGGTGCTAGCAGTTGAGCATAAATTTCTACTGCTTAACCAAAAAGCCTGTTGTATCCCCTGCTGTGTAATAACTTTTTGCTTTTTACAGCTTTTGCTCAGAACTGTGTTCTCAGAATTAGTAAAACCTATTCTTGCTGTGAGTTTATTTCTGAGGTAGGTAGAAATGCTTTCAGATATTATTGCCATTATACGTGAAAGAGGGCCACATGGTTTATGAATTGTAGAGCAAGGCACTGAAAATGTAGAGGAAAAACATCTTGGAGTCTCACCTTCAACCCCCTTGCCACCAGATGTGACATTGGACGGCGCTGTAACCCAGAGCTGTGTTACAGGTCGTGATGCTGTTCAAGTGAAGAGCATGTGGCCATGTATAAGGGAAAGAGCAGAGGCTGAGGAAGGAGACTCGGAGTATTATCTAGTCTCTGCTACTAACTGTCTTGGGCATCACTTCCTAAGTCTAGTTCTTACCTATACAATGTGGGGGCTAGACTACATGAGGTGTTTTATTCAATAATACAGTTCTATTTCATAGTGATTTTTTTTTTCCTGATTCTTTTCTGGCTCAGCAGTTATCACTTGTACAAAGGGCTGTTCTATAAATTGTTTGGATAAAGTAGGTAAAATTGTTGAGAAAAAGTTTTATTTTTGCCTGAATTATCCAGATAGATTTCTTAAATTGATCACATTAATCTAATTATTGTTTTTGCTCCCTAGTAGTTTTGCGTTTGTAGCAACAGTTTTAGTGAATAAAGTAAAGGATCAGGCTGTCTGCCAGTTACCCACGTCATAGAAATTCTTAAGTGAGGTTTGTTAAAACTGGAATGGATTAGAGGGCATGTGAGGTTCCTTAAAACTGATATAGATTAGAGGGGTAGCTGAATTGGGGGAAGAACTTTTTACCCCAGCATATGGGAAGGTAGCTGAGGAGATGGTTACCAAGCAACAGTGGTTCCATTCTGTAGTGTTCCCAGAATGACCCCAACCACTTTATTCAGGTTGTGGGTTGGATTGTTATGACAGGGATAGGGGGAATGTTAGTGTTGGCACATGTAGTAGGTATTGGGTTTGGATATTTTGAAAGCTGTGCTCTTCAAGGATCAGCCTTTCTGAGCTTGAAGAATATAGGAGCTATACCAGTTCCTAACTCTGAGACTTGGAAAAAAGAAACAGTAGTTAGAACTGTTTATTTATTTATTTTGGTCAAGTCATGCAGCTATGAGAAAAGTCTATAAACTGAGCATTCGTGGTCAGAAGAAAATCTCGCTGTACTGTTGACCATCTGTGCTGAGAGAGAGTGATCACAAGGATCTTCAAAACAGCCCCATTAAATGGAAGAAGCCTCACTGAGATGTTGGCTTCATACTACCAACCAAATTTGATCACTTATAAATCTTGCCAGCTCTCAGAGATTCCTGGAAGAAATGTCTTTTTGTGCTTGCAGATGGGTGATTGGATATACTGCAGGGAAGAGTGGTATTTTTCAATTAAGGCACAGTTCATACACATCTCAGTATAATGTGTTGAGTTTAAGAAGGGACAGAAACAGAACTCATATTACATGTTAATTGTTTTGGATAAGTCCGAAATAACTTCTAATAACTTTGAAAGTAGCATTGGGTAGTAGAACACTGGGTTAGGATTTGTAAGAACTGGCTGCTTATCCCAGCTTTGCCACTAATTAGTTGACCTTCAAGTCATTTAGGGAACTTTTAAACCTTAGTTTTCTCTTGTGTAAAATGGAAACAATAACCTGACCTACGTATCTCACAATGAAATAATATATGGGTTTTTTGGGGTTTTTTTGCTGATAGTACAGATCTCCAGTAGAGATGAGGATACTTTCATTCAAGAGGGCCCCACACCCCGGGATTGACATTGATCCCTGGGAAGGAAATACAGGCTGCACAACCCAATCATTGCCATTGCGAATCCATGTTCAGCTGCTGCTTTGAGATTTACTCAGCAATGCACATGGTTAGGTATATAAAAAGCATAACTCAGGTACTAGAGAATCTAATTTGCTATTCAAAATAATTTCAGCCTACCTGGACTGTTTTTTGTGTGTGTTATGTTTTTTCCCAAGACTTGGCTCATTCATATAGTATCGATAAAAGCCCCTGTAAATTTTAAAGGGGCCCCTGGGTGGCGCAAACGATTAAGTGCTTGACTGCTAGCCAAAAGGTTGGTGGTTCAAACCCACTCAGAGGCACTTGACAGTCTGCTTCCAAGAGGTCACATCTTTGCAAACCTTAGAGAGCAGTTCTACTCTACACGTGTGGGATCACCATGAGTCAGAATCAACGGCAACTAACAACAGCAACAACAAAATTCTAAAGGCAGGTGAAGTTAATACTCATTTTAAGTATTTAAGGGAAATTTATGATAGAATTTACTTGTAGTATTTGTATATATACAAATTACATATAGTTGTATA